TATGAACTGAGTGAGCTCACACCTCAGAAAGTCAAGAGGCCTTCTGGGTTTAGTGGAGATGGAGAATGTTTTACTGTCCAGGGAAACCTACAGATGGCTACATTAAGGCCTGCAGGAGTCAGGAAACTGGAGTTTTATTCCTCCAGGACTTCTGGGAGGTAAGCCAAGAAACTGACACCAGTGACATTAACAGATTTCTAGTTCTACTGAGTGGTGGATCCGGGGCTCCATTATTAGCAGTGGCAGCAGGTGCTTGGCTTGCCCAGAGCAGGGCAGAGGCCAGCATGCATGGCTGCTTTGGTCAGAGTGGCATCTCCAAGGAGCTATTACGGACCAGGAATTGCAGAGCCCAGCTCAAAAGGCATTCTGGTCTCCTTTTCACCAGGCACTGAAGTAGCAAGCAGTGACCAGGGTTATTCATGGACACACAGGCACTATGGGGATGCTCAAAAAAAAAAAGAGCAGAAGGTAACTTCTGAAAAAGATTGTAACTTCCTGTTTGTCAAACAGGTTGAGACTCAGCAATACCTGGAATGTTGTTAGGAATGCAAGTTTTTATTTCTAATGAATCGGAAAAGCTGTATTTTAATATGCTGTCTGGGTGATTTCTAATAAACATTAAGGTTTGAGAGTGACAGAACATCACTACAAAAGTAGAATTATTTAAATTCAGAGTAGGGATGTCTTGGATATAGTCTCTCTCTAATCTGAACTCCCCAAACAACCCACTTTACTAAGAGAGGCTACCTCCCCCATGTGGGCAAATCCAGAGATGGGGAGATGTCCCTTCTCACTCAGTCTCTCAGTCTCACTGGCTACGGTGACCTGTCCTTCCTGGAAACACTCTCTCCGTATGGCTTCTGTGACAACAGACTCTCCTGGCTTCCTCCCAGGGCACATGGGAGAACAGTGAGAAAGGAGGATAGAGACAGGGCCAGGTCATGTGGCACCTTTTAGATCACAAAAAGACATCTGGGTGGCCAACAGACAGACACATGAAACGATCCTCAGCATCCCTCATCATCAGGAAAATACAAATCAAAACCACACTGAAATACCACCTCACGCTGGTCAGAGTGGCTACAATGAACAAATCAGGAGACTCTAGATTCTGGCGAGGATGTGGAGAAATGGGCACCCTCCTACTCTGCTGGTGGGAATGTAAACTGGTGCAGCTGCTCTGGAAAACAGTGTGGAGGGTCCTCAAAAAATTAACAATAGAACTCCCCTATGACCCAGCAGTAGCACTGCTAGGAATTTACCCAAGGGATACAGGAGTGCTGATGCATAGGGGTACGTGTACCCCAATGTTCATAGCAGCACTCTCAACAATAGCCAAATCATAGAAAGAGCCTAAATGTCCATCAATTGACAAATGGATCAAGAAGATGTGGTTTATCTATACAATGGAATACTTCATCAAATATTCCCTAATGTTAACACCTTGCATAAATAACTATGATACGATGATGGAAATGGAGCAACTAATAATTGGTACAGTATTATTAACCAACTTATACACGTTGCTGAGATTTTTATCAGCTTGTAGCCAATGTCTTTTCTCTGCTCCAGGATCCATTCCAGGACCCCATAGAACATGTAATTATACAACTTCTTCGTCTCCTCCGATCAGTGGCCATGCCTCCTTCTTGCCTTGTCTTTTCTGACCTATTATTTCTTCTAACATTTTTTTGCATCAGTTTGTCTCTTCTTTAGAACTCCAATGACATAAATATTAGAACTTTTAAAAAATATTTTCTTTTCTTTTATAAATTTTTTTTTTAGAGAGAGAGTGTGAGTGGGGGAGAGTGATGGGAGGTGGGGGGGGTCATCTGGGTGGCTCAGCTGGTTAAGCATCCAACTCTTGATTTCAGCTCAGGTCATGATTCCAGGGTCATGGGATCGAGCCCCATGTGGGGCTCTGCACTGAACATGGATTCTGCTTAGGATTCTCTCTCTCTCCCTCTGCCCCTCCTCCCTACCTCTCTAAAAAATAAAAAAAATAATTTAAAAAATTTGAAATGTGATGATTGGAATATTACATAGAAAAGCTGAGAACCACTGATCTGACAAGCTATAGTTATAGTTTTTCTTTAGTTCTGGCCACTCTGTAACCCAAGATCAGCAGAAACACTCTCAGGTGGCCACCTCTTTGGGCCAAGTTTGATTTAAAAAAATTTTTTTAATGTTTATTTATTTTGAGACAGAGACAGAGATGAGCAGGGGAAGAGTGAATTGCCTGGTGGGCCTGGTGGGCCAGGCACACAGACAGTACAACTTAATAGGCCTTGAGGCAGAAAACAGGGGATAGTAGAATTCTATAATTCTCCAATTAATTAAGAGGCTAAGCCTATTGAGAATAGCGTTAAAAGATCAAACTTGGGGCATGTGTGTGGCTTAGTTGGTTGAGCATCCAATTTCGGTTCAGGTCATGATCTTGCTGTTTGTGAGTTCAAGCCCCACATTGGGCTCTGTGCTGACAGCTCAGAGCCTGGAGGCTGCTTCAGATTCCATGCCTCCCCCCCTGGGGGGGGGTCTTTTCCTAGGAAATTGCTGCATTATTTTTGGAGCTTTTCTGAAAGTTTAAAATTACTTCAAAATAAAAAGGTTTTGACTTTTTTAAGTGGAAGGAAAGAAGGAAGGAAGGGGTAGTGGCTATATTTTTTTGGGGGGGGGGTAGTGGCTATATTAATGTCAGATAAAGTACACTTCAGAACAAAGAATATTGCCAGCGATAAAGAGGGTCATTATATAACGACAGAAGTCAGCTCACCAAGAAGCCATAACAATCCGAAATGTACATACAACTAACAAGAGAACTTCCAAATACATGAAGACAAAATGAGTAGAACTTAAAGGATAAGTCAACATTTATATTTGAGGACGTTAACACCCCTCTCTGAGTAACTGCTCAAATCAGCAGAAGGAAAATCGGTGAGGATATAGATGACCAGAAACACACTATTGATCACCTTGACCCAACTGTCATATTCAGAGCATTCCACCCAATGGTGGCTGAACACGCGTTCTTTTCATGTGAGATTCTGCAAAATTAGAATACCCTTGAAGAATTGTGTCTTTAAAAAAAATTTTTTTTAATGTTTTATTTATTTCCGAGAGAGAGAGAGAGAGAGAGAGCAAGTGCATGAGCGGGGGAGGGTCAGAGAGAGAGGGAGACACAGAATCAGAAACAGGCTCCAGGATCTGAGCTAGCTGTCAGCACAGAGCCTGATGCGGGGCTCGAACCCACAAATGGTGAGATCATGACCTGAGCCAAAGTTGGACACTTAACCGACTGAGCCACCCAGGCGCCCCTGTAGAACTGTGTCTTGATCTGGGATTATCAAGAATGGATTTCCTCTCCTATAGAGAGTCACAGTTCTCCAGGACACCTGAGACACAGTTGAGCTTCTGAGTCTTGGCATCTGAGTACAAGTTACCTGGCAATCTCGTAAAAATTTAGCCAACTGAAGACCTCCTCTGATGTGTCTGCTTGGTGTCTCCCAGGGCACTGGTGGCTCTAGGTCTGCCTTCTGCTTTGATGTTTGCTGTGACTTCCAGGAAAGGAAGCACCTCCCCTAAATTAATACCGCATCTGTGATATAATCCTAATCAGTTTATCAGGAAATCAGCAAAGGCACAGGCCTAACAGTCTTCTTACTCTCTCATCTTTTGAAACCTACATGTGTATGTGTGTGTGCATGTATGTGCACATATATTTGAATCTTATAACACATGGCTGCAGATATTATTAGGTTCATGTATCATTGGAGATATTCATCTGCTATGTAGTTGTGGGGGACAAAATAATGCTCCCCTCCCAAAGTCAAGTCTTAATCCCTGCACTGTGAATAAGTTACCTCAGTAAAAAGAACTTGACAGTGTGATTAAGTCAAGGATTTTGAGATGGGGAGATTATTCCAGATGATCTGAGTGGGCCCAATATAATCATAAGGATCCTTATAAGAGGGAGATAAGAGACTAAGAATCCGAATAGTTAATTCCACTTCTTGACACACCCACATACTACCAACACTCTCTACCTTTAACTTATTGATGAGGAAGGGAAAGACTGAAAGAAAAAAATAGCTTATGGATTACCTTATTTTCTCCTTTCTTGCTATGTCATTTTCAGCTCAAGTGGTTAAGACTAATATAAAGAAGTAATGGAAGTCAAAAAGGATATGATAAGTTGTTTGTGCCTTCTTTCTGTCATACCAGTTTCTCAATTGGTTTAAGGGTTAGAGTTTGCAAGTCAGTATAGGCCCTCAGCCCACAGGGAAAACAGAAGTGATGTTAAAACACCATGACACTGAGGAAGTGCTCAGGGAGGGGGCGTGATGGAGGGTCAGCAAAATCTTGTCTTCTGCTCACCATTAAAGGGTGAATTGTAAAGAGGGAAGGAGACTTAGAGACCTCCGTATTTCATACTAAACAGCATTCTGAGCAAGGCCACAATCCATATAATACAAATGTGAATAATTACTATATTTAACTCATTCAGGAAGTATTATGATTAGTTATCTTTATATCTACTTCCTCATCCTGGCCTTGAAAAACTATTGCCCACGTACTTAGCCTTGTCAAGTTCACGATATGAGACAGTTACCGCAATAGGGCGTTCGGTTTAACTCAAAATTTCCTGGCAACTAATGTGAGAACATAAAACTATAAAGGGAAAGGAAGAATTATAATGTAATAAATAGTCTTTCATTCACTCATTTGTAAACATTCTCAGAAGAAGAAATAAACAGAAAGGTTACTCTTTATAACAGAAAGGTTACAGTCTACAATTTATTCCTCATTTTCCCAATTTGGGAGAATGTAAGTAGAACTGGCTTATTGGGGTAGAAACATGAGCTGGCTTTATTTTTTCCAGAGCCTGCCCCCTGACTGTGGTTGGCTGAACTCTCCCCCCGCAACTTTCTTGCTCAGTGGTAGCTCTCTTTACAAATTGTCATTCTGATCTCTTGGTTTTTCATTCTGTTTCTGGTTTCCAGGATTCTCTCATGCCGGTATTTAAGATCTGCCCGAACCTTCATTTTCACATCAGATACTCATGTCTTCTTACTTGACCAGGTGAGGTTGCCATGCTCTCTGTGCTCGTCATTGCTTCCCTGGCTAGCCCTGCCTGGCCATCAGTACCAGACATGGCACCTCCTGCGTGACCAAACACTGGTCACTTGTGGGGTGAATCTGAGCGCCCTGAAGAATTCTGCCCACAATGTCATCGCCAGGTGGGGGAGAACTAGATCCTGGATCTGCTCTGATCCCACCGTCAGAGTCTGTCCAGGCTGCTATAACAAAAACTACCATAGACTGGGTGGCTTAAACAACAATTTCTCACAGTTCTAGAGGTGGGGAAGCCCAAGATCAAGGTACCTTCAGATCTGGTGTCTGGTGAGGCCTGCTTCTCTGTTCCCAGATGGCCTTCATCTCCATGTGTCTTCATGTGGCAGAGGGGACAGAGGAGCTCTCTGGATTCTTTTTTTTTTTCTTCTATATATGACTGTTAGTCTCATTCATGCAGGCTCTACCCTCATGATCTAATCATCTCCCCAAAGCCCCACCTCCTAATACCATCACACTGGGGTTTCAACATGTGAATTTGGGGGCCACACAAGGGTTCAGTCTATAGTACCCACTCAAGTGCTTGTGAGGCTATCCTCAGATGGTCTACACCCAAAAGATGCATCCCAGAGACCACTTACCTGGCACCCTGTGGAGCGGCGCAGGCCCAATCATCTTTCCCTGGACACTCCTGTTGCCATGCCCAACAGTGGGTGGGCCAGCTGCTTCACAGCCTTCTCTCTCTCAGTTCTGACAACTCTCCCTTCTTTCTCCTTTCACTCTGCAGAAAGAGATGATTACCACCCACCCACGGATGGGGACAGTGAAGGAGGAGAGAACCTCTCTTCCTGACCCTCAGACTCCTTAGTAACTAACTCCTTAGTCCTTGCCCACAGAGCAGACTAGGGGTGATGGAGAGCTGTGCTTGGTAAGGCTAATCTTCCTGCTCTCAGTAAGACCCGAGGCTGACCCCTGACAGCCCAGAGTATGCTGAATTCACAATGTGGGGTGCTTTATACCAAGCTTTAGGCTTTAGCGTGGATTTTTGAACAACAGAAAAAAACCTCCCTCAACATTTTGTGGTATAAGTACATGCACTGAAACCACATCATCGATCACTAATTACCAATAACTTGCTTTTATCTTGGGCATTGTGCCAAAATCCCCTGTGAATACAAAGGGCTTCAATATATTTTCCTGCAGGCAATATGATACAGATTGATAGGGAGACTGACAATATACGTTAATAAAACAATGCAGCAAAAAAAAAAAAAAATACCCAGAACAATCACACTAGCGTCTGCTTTAATGTTATACCCTTTTTGCAGAAGAAGGAACAAAGGCATATTTATTTAAATGGGATGAGGCAAGATGTCTTCACTGCCAGCTTTAGTCATGCTTTAAAATTATTTTTTAGGGGTGCCTGGATGGCTCAGTCAGTTAAGCGTCCAACCTCAGCTCAGGTCATGATCTTTGCGTTTCATAAGTTTGAGCCCCACATTGGGCTCTGTGCTGACAGCTCAGAGCCTGGAGCCTGCTTCGGGTTCTGTGTCTCCCTCTCACTCTCCCCCTTCCATACCTGCACTCTGTCCTCTCTCAAAAATAAACATTAAGAGCAAATCAGAGAACTCTAGATGCTGGCGAGGATGTGGAGAAACGGGCACCCTCCTACACTGTTGGTGGGAATGTAAACTGGTACAGCCTCTCTGGAAAACAGTGTGGAGGTTCCTCAGGAAACTAACAATAGAACTCCCTTTTGACCCAGCAATAGCACTGCTAGGAATTTACCCAAGGGATACAGAAATGCTGAGGCATAGGAGCACATGTGCCCCAATGTTCATAGCAGCACTCTCCACAATAGCTAAAACATGGAAAGAGCCTAAGTGTCCATCAACAGATGAATGGATCAAGAAGATGCGGTTTATCTACACCATGGAATACTCCATGGCAATGAGAAACAATGAAATCTGGCCATGTGTAGCAACTTGGATGGACCTTGAGGGTGTTATGCTGAGCGAAATAAGTCAGGCAGAGAAGGACAAATATCATATGTTTGCACGTATAGGAGGATTAGGAGGAACTTGACGGAGGATCAAGGGGGAGAAGAAGGGCGGAAATGGTGGGGGAAAGGGAGAGAGGCAAACCATGAGAGACTCTTGAATGCTGACAAAAACTGAGGACTGATGGATGTGGGGGGGAGGGAGGGATGGGCATGGAGGAGGGCACTTGTGGGGATGAGCACTGAGTGTTATGTGGAAACTAATTTGACAATAAACTATTTGTAAAAAACAAATAATAAAATAAAAAAAAGAAAAAAACTAAAAAAACTCTACTCAACAGAAAAAAAATAAACATTAAAATTTTTTAAAATTATTTTTTATTTTGAAATAATTTACAGAAGAATTACACAACTAGTACAGACAATTTCTGTATACTCCTCACCCAGCTTCCTCTAATGTTAACATCTTATATAGCCATGATACAATGACCAAAACTAAGAAACTAACATTAATGTAATACTATTACTAATGTAATACTATTAACATGGATTTTTAATGTAATCATTTTCCCCACTATTGTGCTTTTCCTCTACCAGGATCCAATCTGAGGTACCATTTCGTATCTAGTCAACATATCTCCTTAGCTCCCTCCAATCTGCAACAGTGTCTTAGTCTTTCCTTGTCTTTAATGCCTTTTAATACTTTTAAGAGTCCTAGTCAGCGGGCTACCTGGGTGGCTCAGTCTGTTAAACATTCGGCTCTTGATTTCGACTTGGGTCATGATCACACCATTCCGTGAGAGCTCAAGCCCTCTGTAGGGCTCTGCACTGACAGCGTGGAGCCTGCCTGGGATTCTCTCTCTTTCTCTCTCTCTGCCCCTCCCCTGCTTGTACACACACACCCACACTCTCAAATAAATAAACTTAAAAAAAAAAAAAGAGTTCTGGCCAGGTTTTCTGATCTTTTTTCTCATAAGAATGGGATTTTGTGGATTTGAGGTGAAGTATTCTCCTCGATCATATAACAATATGACTTATTACTGGTAGGTTAACCTTGATCACATGGTGAAGGTGGTGTCTGCCAAGTTTCTCCACTCTAAATTTACTCCCCTCCCCTTTCATATTTAAGAAAAGAGTCACTAAATCCAGCTTGCACTGAAGGGGAGGGGAATTAAGTTCTGGGGCGAGTATTAAATAATTTGTGGACATGTGTTAGTCATCACAGTAACATATAAATATTTGGGAGGAGAACTTTGAGGCTATGCAACTATCTTATTTCTCTTTAAAGTGTTATCTACTAGGGGCACCTGGGTGACTCAGTCGGTTAAGTGTCTGACTTCAGCTCAGGTCATGATCTCATGGCTCATGAGTTCGAGCCCTTCATCAGGCTCTGTGCTGACAGCTCAGAGCCTGGAGCCTGCTTTGGTTTCTGTGTCTCCCTCTCTCTCTGCCCCTCCCCTGCTTGTACTCTGTCTCTGTTTCTCTCTTTAAAATAACACTAACAATTTTTTTTAAAGTATCATTCACTGATTTTAGCATTCATTAGGACTTGCTCACAGCAATTATTCTGTGGTACTCTTTTTAAATTATTATTATTAATTTTAAATCATGTATAGTTAACATATAGCTCTGTGGTGTCTCAATAGTGATTTTTCTTTTCCACTCATTTCTTCTATTCTTATTCAGAATTCAGCTGGAAAGACAGTTCATTTCTTTCAATTCCATTTTATTCATTTATTGGTATGGATTCAAGAATATTTTGTTATTTGAGTTATAAATTTATATCATAATTATTTATTTTCATTGTTGAAATTGTTCTAGCTTTGCCCCTAGGTCTTTTCATTGACTCCTTTGAGATATTTTCATCTTTTCTTGTCTTTTCTTCCCTCCTTCTTTCTTTTTCTTCCTTCCTTTCCTTCTTTCCTTCCCTGTCTCCATTCTTTTTTCTTTTCTTTCCTTTTCTTTCCTTTTCTTTCCTTTTCTTTCCTTTTCTTTCCTTTTCTTTTCTTTTCTTTTCTTTCCTTTTCTTTTCTTTTCTTTTCTTTTCTTTTCTTTTCTTTTCTTTTCTTTTCTCTACAAGAAAGTCAAGTCCCTCCTGTGTTTTCCCAGTCCCAGCCCTAGAACTAGCCATTTTTCCAAGGAGGTCTGGTTCCTTTTATTGAGAATGATATTTAGAAACCAAGACCTGAATGCTAAGTGTGCTCATTGTTTCTAGGGTGTCATTGCTTCTAGATGTTCTAGAGGACAGAGCTAAGAAATATACATATACTAGCTTATGTATATACATATCTATATTTATTTCAGTATCTATTCATATATATATATATATTAAACAAGAGTTCCAGCTATACCTCCAATTCTAGTTCATCAATACCACAAGTTCATTGTAGCCTCTTCTACTTGGTCACCTCTTTTCCTGATAGTAAGAAATCTGCCTCTCCTTATCTCTATTACTTACTTATATATATTCAAACTTAGTATACATTTAAAGAGTATCAGAATTGCTAACCTATCCTCCTCTGAGATACAAATTTACCAACTAGAGTACAGTGTTATGTACAGTTTTTTTGTGTCTTCATCTTACAATTTCAAGTGAAAACATGGTTTTCCAATGTTAATTAGGTTAGCTCCCCCCACCCCCTTCAGTGAGGCTATATCATACATTTGTAATACTGTTAGGTTTTATTTGTCTCAATCTGCGTTCCATCATGGCTTCCCCTGACAGTGTAGTTAATTTAAAAACAATTACATACAATAAAAGTCACTCGTTGGGCTATACAGTTTTTTTTGTGTTATGACAAATTTACAGAGTCTTGTATCTACCACTGTAGTACCAATACAGAATAGCTCCATTACCCTAAAAATTCCTTTGTAATAAACTTCTCCCCTTTCCCCAAACCTGACAACCGCTGATCTGTCTTCCATCCCTATAGTTTTGCCTTTTCCAAAAGGTCACATGAATGGAATCCTACAATATGTAGATTTTTAGGTCTAGCTTCTTTTACTTAGCAAAATGCACTTAAGATCTGTCCATGTTGTTGCATGAACCAATAGTTCATTCCTTTTTCCTGCTGGGTATAGACAACCTCATGGTGTGGATATACCACAGTTTGTTTTCCCATTTACCTGTTGAACGGCATCTGAGTTATTTCTAGTTTGGGTATTATCAATAAAGCTGCTATGAATAGTCATATATGGGCTTTTGCATGAGCACAAATTTTCACTTCTCTCGGGCAGACACCTAGTAGTGGAATGGTGGGGTTGTATAATAAATGCATGCTTCTAAGAAACTATCAAATAGTTTTTCAGAGTGGTGATTACACTTTGCAATGAATGACCATGCCTGGTGTTCCACACCTCTAGCAGTTTGCTTGTCCACACTCTTTTTCAAGTGGAAACTGTTGCCCCACCCCAACTCTGACCTGTCCCTTCTTTTTGGCCTCTGCTTGAATTACAGACTAATCTTCATTTTTGCTTTCCAGCGTGCTGGTATCTGTGAAGGTAACAATTTTAGATTGCTTCATTTTTCCACTGGTGGGCAAGAGTTCTACGACTGAACCTCCTATGCACCTGCTTCATGTTTCCACTGGGCACTAATGTACTATTGCATTTTGAATCTACTAACCATCCTCGAAGGCAGTTTCAGCAAACACTCTTCGGTTGGGATGAGAGATAACAGCACCCTGCTTCAGAAGAGTTCCTTTCTGGCTTTCCCAGACCTTGGCTTTTGTGAGTTCCTTAACGCCTGTGTATCTCAGCCCCTTTGTAGTCTCCCTGAGCAAACCCACTGAAATACAAGGATGTTCTAGGGTCTTTATCAGACCCCGTGGTAGCCATGGATCTGGCAGGAGAGACCTCTCCACACTGCTCTTTGGCTGGTGCTGGGGCCTAATTCGTCAGGAAGAAGCTATACATCTGGCCCCTGCTTGGAGTCCCTGTCTCCTAAGTTGGCAGGTAACACATTCTCGTAGTCACCAGAGGTCTCATTTGACATTTCGTCCCCATGTTCCATCTGACTAGTCTTACTCTGTGCAGATGGCTGGTAGGTCACATAATCCCCAAGTGCCGGGAACCTCCCTGACTGCATGACAAATTGGACGTGGGACCCTGGACTGCCTGTCCTGCCTTCTACATGGCCTGTGTCTGAGGATGTCACTTCTTCCGCAGCCTGCTGCGCGTTCCCATTGGCATGTGCCGACGGGACGTTTTCATAATCTCTGTAGCACTGAAGAGCCATCCAGGGTTGCTTCCCCTGGATGGCCTCAAGATTCAACCCTGCCATGTTGACGTAGTCATTTGAGGTCTCAGAAGAACTATCCTCATTGCTGAGTGGGTCATCGCTCTCCAATCTTAGAGACCAAAAACTGGTGTGGTCAGTGGCATTCCCGCAGCCCTCCTCTCTTTCCTCAGTAAGCTCTGGCTTCTGCGCACTTGTGGGGGCAAAACCATTCACGGGGGTGGTGTCGGCAGAAGCCAGAAGAGTCTTAGCGATCTGTTCTGTGGTGGAAACGTTGATGTAATCTCTCGAGTCCTCTGAAGAAATGCTCAGGCAGTCTCTGGCTGCACTGACATTGACATAGTGTGCAGAGGGAGGGAGGTCCCCACGCATCTGGAGCCCTGTGGCATTGTCATAGATGCCCACTGCGTAGCTGTTGGCAGGATAATGTTCTCTGTGCACCCAGAGGACACTGTCTGCTTGGGAGGGCTATGAACAAGAAGAGAAGGGTACTGATGGGATGAAAGCAGAAATATGGGCAAAGCCTTCCTACTTCCCCAGCCAGTATCACTCTCTGATAGCTCCTCTACTTGTTTCTTCACCTTGGAGAAAATCTCTAAATCGGGGGCCTCCGACTACAAGGCTTTAGATACTAGGGAGGTATGAGCCAAGTGGAAAGCATAAGCGTAACGACACAGTGTAAGTGTTAAGTGTAGCAACAGTGTAAATGTGTAAATTGCTTCCGGTTTTTGGCCACAGTGTGAGTGTGCAGTGGGGAGTGTGTAGGGGCGAGTATTATAAACTGGCCAGAGCCTACTGTCGCAGAGCCCACTGAGAGTCAATGTAGGGACTCAGCCCCAGACTCGGTGCAAATCCCAGCCTCACTACTCTGTACTGAGTTGGGGCAAGTTACTTAATCTCTTTGCCGCCTTACTTTCCCAGCATGTAAAGTGAGGATAATCATAACACCTATGTGACATAGGTTTTTGTGAGGAGTAAATGTATGACTATGTGCAAGGCACCCAGAATCGTTGCTGGCACATCAAAAACACTAACCAATGCTTGCCGTTATTATTAAAGGGACGGCTGATGTGTAGACTCAGCTAATTATGGTCATTTAGGGATGCTGATCCGATGTTTCCAGAGCTTCTAAGACTTCTCAGGAAAAATCTTCAGGCTTTAATGTGAAATCTTTTAGATTTTTACGGGTTGGCAACCGGTTCTAAATGTTCTTTACACACAGCACAGAGTCCAAGCCAGCCAAGTTGTGGCCTTACATGGGTTTGGCACTCTAAATGCAAAAGCCCCTCAGGATTCCCCCCCCCCCTTCCGCTGCCCCTCTGCCCTCACCCCCAATGGCTGGAACTCACTTTGCCAGTGGAGTTTCCCTTCCCTGCCCTTCATCAGCCACGCAGGCTTGCTCCCCCAGGAAGTGTTAGAGGTGGGAGCAGAGTCCAAGGACAGGGTATGTGGGAGGAGGGCGGGGAGATGGCCACATGGTACTTGAACCTAAATCTTGTCTAGGGAGAGGCTGGAGAGCAGTGGGATCAGCAGCAAGACTGTGCTTACTTGAATGATCGCAAACGGAAGGGACTGATTTTTTTGATAGGCCGACAAGAACTTATCTATGGAAATGAGCCCTGCTGAGCTTCAAAGTCCTCCCTTCACAGTCTCTGGGGCCACACTGCTGTGGGAGTCCTCCCTGCGGGCTGCCTTCAGAGCCTGATCGCAGGACGTGTGGGGTTCTTAGTACTCATTATACTCCTCCCCTGGTGACCTCAAAAAATATCCCACGTTTGATCACATTTTACGCCAGCCACAATGCTCAGTGATCTACAAATATACCTGCCCTGAGGATAATTGAAACAGTTTGGCACAGGCGCCAGAAGTAATTACCACGGGAGGGTTTTTAGGGTGTTTTGAGCGCCGATGGCATTGTTTGGAATGCTTGTGTGCCCTCCCTAGGTGATTCCTTGCAAGGGGACAGGACTCATTTGGATAAACGGTTACCTGTCTTGGTGAAAATAATCCATTTCAGTTCTAACACCATGTCCTTGAATACATGTGCCCTGGTGCCTTGCTTCACATCACAAACGCCTGCTCCTGTATTTCTCAATTTCTCTCCCTGGGCAGTAGGGAGATCCCGAGGCTAGTCTTTCCAATTTATTAATAGGGCCGGGCGGGGGGTGGGGGGACTGCCAAGACATGTGGTTTGCAGGGGGAAACGAGATCTGTGACCTGAACTCATTTCCCTCAGTTCTTCTGCCAGAAACGCCTCATTTCTCCCAAGGGACTTGTCCTTTCCCTTGACTCTTACCACATGCTCAGAAGGAGGGCTCTCAGAATTTCTGGACAGGAGGCTCTCGGTGCTGAAAATTCGGTTACTCCTTGATGGGCGTCTCCCTGAAATGACAGAGGACAAACCGTGAGGACAGCTGGCTGGTGCCCTGACCGCTTTGGCCCAGACAGTCTCTGCATTATGGGGTGAAACGGGTTTGTGTGGCGTCTGGTATTTGGAGCCTGGTGTTCTGTGGTGAGAGGGTCAGAGCTATGGGTATGACGTGCTCTGAGGCTGGGAACTGTTCCCAGCTTCTAGCAGAGGACTGGAGGACACTAACTAGCAAGGGGCTGGGGAGGCTGAGAAGTTGGCGCCTGGGGCGAGTCTTCCCGGCCTGTAATGTTCTCCTCTCTGTCTTCCCCATTCCTAGACACGCCCATCTGTCCTTTGCTAACTTCACATCAAGATGAAACAGAACCCCAACCTTTTTATAGCCCCTGAACTCCCCTTTTAGAGCTTTCTAGGCCCCCAGTGGAGCTTCATCTTATCCCATCTTCCTCCATGCTCCCCAAAGGGCAGAATGTCTGAAAGTTTAAAGAAAGCTGCCTCTGTGGGGCGCCTGGGTGGCTTAGTCAGTTAAGCGTCCGACTTTCGCTTAGGTAATGATCTCGGGGTTCGTGGGTTCGAGCCCCGCGTCGAGCAGTGCTGACTGCCAGCTCAGAGCCTGGAGCCTATTTCAGAGTCTGTATCTCCCTCTCTCTCTGACCCTCCCCTGCTCTTGCTGTCTCTCTCTCTCTTCTAGAAATAAATAAAAATATATATAAAAAAAAAAGAAAGAAAGAAAGCTGCCTCTGGGTGGTGAGAGGTGCATTCTGGGTGTAGAAGTTCAGTAACATCTCAGTCCATGGATTAGAAAGAAAAACCTACCCTCTTGCCTCTGGGGCAAAGAGTCATAAATATTTTTGGCTCCTTGTCTGGGTCGAGACAGAGTCAGTAAGGGCATGACAGTAACTCGGAAGTAAGGAACTTGTCCTGCAAGACAATGACAGAGATGGAGATCACAGCAGAGGCCAGTTGCACAGAATGTGGGGACCTTTGGGGATGGGATGATCCCTAAAAATATTCTCCACCCTCACCATGTAATATAAAATATACATTTTCACACATGCCCAATTCCATCTGAGCTAGAAGCCTCGGTCGACAGAAGCAGGAGGAAGAAATGGGGAGGAGGAGGGGGTGGGACACGTGAGTCCCAGGGCAACGGGCTTTCAAAACGGAAGTCCAATCAGCACTGAGCCTTTTGGAGACATAGCATAGACTCTCGAGTGACACAATGACCGGTGTGTCAAAGAACAGAGGTTTCCCCAGTGGGATAGTTTATCCCTGGAGAATAAACTAGGCTGTCGATGCCAGGTGAGATTATTGATCCTAGGGTGTCTCAACTTCGGGCCAACCAGGGACTCACGCCTCTTCAGTTTATTCCAGTTCCATAGGCCGTAGAAGATCATGGTGGTCAGGAGGATGGCGAGGAATCCCGCAAACCCAGAAAAGATGGCGGTGCCGTGGTCTTTATCTCTGTGAGGAAAACCACGTGCCAGTTGAAGGAGGCTGAGGAGGCTGGAGAAGATGCTCCCATCAGGAATTGGAGCCTGGGGACTTGGAATGTGAGGCTGGGCGAAGGGAAGCTGGGGTGGGCGGGTTGGAAGGCTGAAGAGAGGGATTTCTCTGTGAACAGAGGGAAATTGGACACCGGAGAAGGGTACTATCCCTTCTGAATGCCTCCTGGATACTAGGCCCAGAAAGGCAGGTATATGACCTCTAATATATCAGAGGTCACACAGATAGGAAGGAGCAAAGATGGAATGTGAGTTGAGGTCTGTAGGGACCCAGAGATCGTGCTCTTCCTACCACACCACACTGTCCTCCAAATTTGCAAGATCAGCCTCCTCTGCCTGACTTCCCCACATCCCCTACTCCTGGGCTTCCCATCCTGTGTGGAAGAGGGGTTACCCAACACACAGGGAGGGAGCTACTCTGTGACAGTCCAGCTTGCAAGCACTTGAGCAGCCCCCATGGACCACCTTGTGGAGCTGGTCTCCAAGCAACCTTTGTTGTTTCATGGAATGTAACCAATGCAAAAGAGAATCCGGTTTGCGCTGCTGGGGATCCCCTGACAGGGCTGGGGGTGCGGCTTCTGTAACAAGAAGAGCCAGTGGACGTTACAGCAGGAATCGCTAGGGGACCTGCTACCTCCAAATATTAGAAACTCCATCAGCTACTAGGGAAGGTTCTTGTCCTCCTGAGTCCTAGACTTGTTTACTCAATTTATACTGGACATTTCCACAAGGCTGCCCAACGGACACCAACCATATAGGTCTCAAACAGAATGCCCATTCTTCTCTCATGAGCCTGCTTCTCCTGTGGTGTCTCCCATCATCTAGTGGCTCAGTCAGAAACCTTGGAGCCACCTTTGACTGCTCTTTTTCTTCCACACCTCACTTCTCGTCAACCAGCAGATTCCATCTGCCCAATCCTGGGCATCTATCCCAAACCCAGTCACTTCTTGCTCCTCTAGTGCCAACCCTCAGTCCACATGGACCTTTGCAGCAACCTCCCTAATGCATTGACTGGCTTTCACTCTTGACTCCAGCATGTTATCTTCACTCATGAGCCAGCATGATCTTCCTAACAGTAAACCAGATCACGGCCCCCATCTTCCTGTGACCTGCATCATTTCCCATCACACTTAGGATAACAGCCACAGTCCTCACCCAGTGAAGACTTCATGGCACCTTATGTTCTGGCCTCGGTCTATCTTCTGACCTCATTTCCTACCACTATCCGTCTGACTTTGACAGCTAGGATTCCCAGCTCTTCTTCGTCCATGCAAAGCGTGGTTCTGCCTCTGACCAACAGTGCCCTCTCCCAGGTATCTGCATAGCTCGGTCCATCATTTCCTCAGGTCTCTTCTGAAATGTCACCTGCCCAGACAGGCCCTCCCAGCCCACACTCTATTACTCTCAGTCCCCTTAACTCTGCTCTGGTTTGTCTTCCTACACTTAAGACTGATTGACATTATATTATATATCCATTTGTTTATCTATTAAGATCTGACTTTTCCACTTGACTGTAAGCTCCAGGAGGCCGTGGACTTGTCTATCCTGTTTAATCTGGTGCCTGGAACAGTGCCTGGTACTTAGCAAGGGCATGATGAATATTTGTTGAATGAGTGAGTAAATTAATAAACATAAATGAATATAGAAGTAATTACTTTTGGGGGGATTCCAAGTTCTGATAACTTTATGAATTCATTCCCCATCAATGCTCCTATTGCAAGTGACATATATTCGTCTGGCACGGTAATAACATTTATTTCCCTAAATGACAGCGATTTAAAATTTATTGTTGTTGGGGTGCTGGGTGGCTCCATTGCTTAAGGGTCCAACTTTGGCTCAGGTCACGATCTCAACAATTTATCAGTTTGAGCCCCTCTTCGGGCTCTGTGCTGACAGCTCAGAGCCTGGAGCCTGCTTCGAATTCTGTGTCTCCCTCTCTTTCTCTGCCCCTCCCCTACTTGCACTCTCTCTCTCTCTTTCTCAAAAATAAAAGTAAACATTGAAAAAATTTATTATCGTTGAATTGCACTGTTATCACAGCACTGAGATTTATACCCACCAGTGTTGCTAAAGCTTCAACTGCTGATGGACTTTTTATTTTTGTTAGTACGATACTGAATGTTTTAGCCATAAAATTTATATCCACGATTAGTTCTGTGAGATTTTATATCCTAAAGACATATCTTTATCACATCTATGATTGCATTTTCCATTCATGGAAAGTTTTTAGGACCTAAAAACACATCGTTGAAAAAAGTGGGCCTTTTGTTTCCATTATGGTAGGAGCTAGTTTTTGGGGGGGGGGGGAGAGGCAGTGGTTGTTGGGTCCTGAGACAGGAAAGATTGGGGACAGTGATGGACTGGGTGTTGGGTGGTAAGAAATCCAACCAGGCCAGGCAGCAAGCTCTGGAGGAATCCTGTGTTATCACAACTACCCCCTGCGACTCCTTCTCTTCAACACCTACTGCTTTCCTCCCAGCAGCCCTGAGTAAACTTCTCTAAGCCTGGAGTTTGGTGGTCTCAGTGGACCTCAGCCTGGTTGTGAGGGCTAGGAGCCCTGCTGGGGTAGAGCCCCCTTTCCCCCCAGGGTCCACCAGGGATGTGTGTCTAAATCAGGGGAGGCTAGAGCTCACCATCCTGAGTCACTCACCTGTCCAGGCTGCCACCAGTTTCCTGCAGAGTCCTGGCCTCCGAGGTCCCCTGTCTGATTTCTGAAAGGGTCGGGGTGATCATATCCATTTCCATGGGGACCTCTGGCTTCAGCTTCTCCTTCTAAGCCTTCTCTCAAGTGTCATCAGCTAGTGCATGTTGCCCCTTCTCCTGGGTCTTCCCAAGCTGTCGACCCCCAGGAGAAAAGGCAAAATTAGTTTGTGTTTTACACAACATCATAACCACTTCTTTAAGTAGATAAGAATGATGGACACCCTCCCCATCCCCATGTTTTCCAATCTTTCTAGAACTTTCCCCCAACAAACTTTCTACCTTGCATCTACCCCTGAAATGTCAGGCTGCGCTGACCCCAAACACAAAAATGACAGGTTTGCTTCTACCTGGATGTGGCAACAGTGCCGGAGGCGAGAGCTCAGCCCGCTAAGGTGGTCCCCCAGCCAGGTGCTTCAGGGAGATGCTTCGCTCTCTGCCTTCTGGTGGAAGTATGAGGGCCAAAGAAACTGCTGAAAGGCCTGAGAGAGAGGCTCTGTGAGAAGCCCATCCTCCCCCAACCCTCAAAGGAGCCAGAAAAGAGCAAACATTTTGCCAGAATGGAAACAGAGAGTCGTCACAGGAAATGACACCACCGATGTTCTAAGGAAGCATGGGGCACAGGAAATGCTGCTCAGCTATAATAAGATAGAAGAAACCATGTCTCCCCGCCCCCCCCCCCCCC